CATCATCATCATCATCATCATCATCATCATCGCGATGACCATTGAAACGTTCATTGTTACCGCGTCAGTCTTGATCATCATCATCATCATTAAGTATTAATATACCACATCAAGACGTCCATATTATAACATTAAATCAATGGCATTCTCGTCGCTATTCATGATTCATTGTTGTTTTGTTACTGACAGGAATCTTGGTCTTGGAGTTGGTTCGATGTCATCTCGTGTAGGAGGGATAATCGCGCCATATATCGTGTATCTTGTAAGTACTCTTGTTTTGAAGATATGAAACACTTTTCATGATCCAAATACTTGCCCTATATCTATATACGTCAAGGATTATCTTCACCWGATAGATAGGATAAAATGGCGGCGACACCGAAAAAAACAGCCTTGATTAAACAGAAAAGAGACGAATGACAACAAAATTCTATAAATAGTGTCAAGCAGCTATTGACAGATAGCATATTTGAAAAATATGCTATGATGCAATCATCCAAGAAGTCACCACGCGTGTGCGATGAAGAGTAGCGAAACCCCAGGGGGGAGGGGACTCCCATATATAGGGTTTGAGATGATCATCGTATCTTTTTTAGGGGTAAAAATCAGGGATCTTGCATCTTTTAGTGTGTCCTTTTAAGATAATCAGCGTAAAGATAAAAACAAAATCAGCCGGCTCACTCATTTTCATATTGGCTTTGTCGCGTTAAATCAACAAACATTTTTAGTTGGTATTTTTTAGGAGTGAAAATATTGTGTTGCAACGCCCTTTTTCGAAAGATCCTGGTATCTTTTAGGCGGTGTATTATTCAAAATTTCCGACGATCACCCCCACCCTAAATACTAGAGAGTCCCTCCCCCGGGACCGAAACCCCCTTTCTTGGCAGACTTTGAAATATGAAACTTTACTTGACAACTGATCAGTTGAGCACACATTTTCGKATAGTCCAACACTTTGGATACGAGCTGAAACGCCCTCTCTACATGAAAACCCTTCACAGACCCCTTAATTCCCACGTCCCTGCGTCACTGGCGAACCTGATTTGTTTGCGTAATTTACTTATTGGTTGYCATTTTAGAACACTGATATAATTCTCTCCTATCTAGAATGACTTCATGCTAAATCTGCCATTTATTGTATTTGGTATCATGGCATTCTCCGCTGGTCTCCTGGCAGTGTTCCTTCCTGAAACTCTGTTCACACCCATGCCGCAGACCGTGGATCAGGTGGAGTCCTGGGACGAGGATTATGGTCTGCCATGTCGAAAGAAAAAGGAGSCTGAAGAAGTTGTAATGGAAAATGGTGAACCGGCGCAGAACGAGACCACTGCCGGAGAAACTACTGTACTGTAATCGTCAATCTGRCCATCTAGAGAATTTAGATATGCTTAAAAATACGTAAACCTCGATGTGATTTATGTTTAGAAGCATATAGGCCTGGATCTTTGCCATCTCAAAGCTCACTCATTTACTACTTTCAGGCTGCTCTTTTACATGGGAAGGCGAAATTTYACGAAAACCAACACCATATAGTGCGTCACATACCATTATAGGGTGGGTTGGTGGGTGGGTGGGTAGGTGTGGGGGGTTGTTTATATGTTCACTTGAAAATAATAAGTGTAAATAACTATAGACATTACTATTTTCAGCACTCACTATTGATACGTGCACTAGTTTAGTTTATTTACTTTTTTTGGACATATTATCGACATAGTTCCGTGTTCTAGGAGAAGTGTTACATCATTAAAATTATTATTTTTGTTGATTTGCATTGATTTTGTCTTATTTCTTTTATRAAATARGAACCCACTGTTAAGAAGAAAGCGCAAAGCTCTAGATTAAATTCAATATATATCATTTATATCAAAAAGAGAGAAATTTTACGCGGGTACAAWAATGCATGCTTGTGCATGAAAACGAGGCTATTTTCTTGCGACTAAAATACAATGATTAATATTGCTCTTTTTGATACGGAAAATATTGTGCTTACATCGCATGCCAAAAACAACCACAAACTGACAATTAAAAACATTTAAGTTTCTTTTCAAACTGAAATAAGAATACAAAACGTAAAAATAAACTAAATATCGATGTTGAAATGGACCGAAATTTGAAGAGATTTCAACGGCTTTCGGCCGATAATCATTCGTAGGATTCGTGGAGCCAACTTCTCTCCTCCACAGTCTGGAAAGCTGAAGAAAAGTCATGAGTATCCCTTCTCGTACCCAGACCCTCTCGCGGCCTATCGGTCGGAAGATGAAAAGGGTCTGGGTACGGGAATGAGTATGTCTGAAAATCGAAAAACAGTCTACGCGAGGAGATGGATATCATCGCCTCATCATGGACGCTAAACAACCAAAGCCGGCCGTTCACTTTGAAGATTTATGGAATGCAATTGGAGGATTTGGTCGATATCCAATCTTAATGTTTGTATTCATGTGCTATGTTACGATTTGTGTTGACTTTCAGCAATTTATACAGCCCTACTATGGCTCTGCACCTAACTACCAATGCAAGCCATGGGATTCAACCTCCAACACCACGGTCTGCGGTATCAATAAATGTGGATGTACTAATTGTACATACGTGTTTGATGATGAATTCACAAGTGCAGTGTCAGAGGTAAATATTAAACAGAGATTGTTGGCCATAAAATACGGTATAATAATAAAT